GAATGCCATCCCTTATGGCTTGAAAAGGGCACACCACCAATTGAACAAGGGAATGTTGTTAGGGCTTCAGGAAAAGGAAACTGGTACATGGTCGTTTTCTTGTCCCTCCATTTCTATTTGCCTTGGACTAGCAGACAACTTTATAGATAATATTTCCTAGGGGCATCTTTTGTTCTGATTCAGCTGCTCCTTTATACTGAAAGAAATGCTGTTTCGGCTTTTAGGAAACATTATTTCCTGTGAACTCTGCCTTTCACTGGGGTGTGGATATCATGATAGGGAAAATGCTTCCATAGATTGTTAGAGAGCGTTGTTTAGTAAATACGTCTTGGTAGCAAAATAACTAGCATTCCAGATGTGATAACATGGTACTCTTTAAAGCAAGAATCAGTCTGTTTTCTGCTGCCACTTTCCCTCCTCCTTTGCTATTTATAAGGTATGTTTCTTGTTTAGAGCTTGTACTGCAATGTGTATTTAAGGTAGTGGCTGCCTATTTTAACAGAATATTTGAAGTAAACATACAAGTGCATGCATTCCTTACCCAAATCAAAAACCTAAACTGTGTACTGATGACTCTGGGAAGCGTTAGCTTTTCCAATGTTATTCCACCTACAGTCTTAAACAACCTTTCTTTTGCCTTTTTTTTTTTTTCTCTAGTTAACAGTAGCTTCCTTTGAATATGTCCTGGTGAAGTTTATACACAATATAGTTTTTAACATACCAATGAATTGATTACTAAATTCTTCTTTCCATTTTAAAATCCTCACACTGCCTCTTCAAAGCCCTGCTGAGGGGGTGAGGTAGGGAAGGAGGAGTCTTGTATATCAGCTGTATTCAGAATTGCAAGTACAGTAGCAGGAGAGGGCGTACAGATTGCATATAGAAATACAGGTAAAGAAAACAGTTTCGTTACCTTTGTTAACTTGTATTTTAAGATGTGTTGTCATGTAGCCTTAGGCATGCATGTAAGTCGAAGCAGTTCTGGCCATTTTAGCTTGCGTGATTAGCACTTGTATGCTCTCACTGATTTTGGCAGCTTTACAGGGGTCATGTTTCGTACAGATGAACTGTTTCTGAACAGTTTCTCCAGTGTGTTAGGCTCAAACTTCATTTGAGCTGGGCAGGCCATGCTTTGCACTTGCTACTTCAGAAACTGCATTTAATTCTTTCAGTTCTAATGTTCCTTCTATACTATTCCACTGTTTTTAATTCCACATAAGATCCTTTTCAGAGGAGCTACGTTTTCTTGAGAGTTCTCCTTTGTGACTTGGTTCAGTGGAATAACTACTAAGATGTAGTACAGTAAGAACTGGTATTTCGAAATAGACCAATGATCTGCAGTGCTTGTTCTGTTGCTGCTGTTAGCTGTTTGGTGGAATGTCTGTGTGCCCTTGCCTTAATACCTCTCTGATCATGCAATTAGGTTAGATTTGGATTCAGGAAAAATGCATCTAGTGCTTAAATCATTCTAAATGATGGCATTGAATAGCTTTTTGTGGTCTATCTTTGTACTTTAATCACAGATTGTAACTTTAGTTTTTAGTAGGATAATGCCAGGGGAAATAGGAATACGAGAGTTCTGTTTGTAGAATAAAGAGAAAAATAAAAAAAAAAAAAGTGAGCAAAATCTCAGCAACAGCCTGAAGAAATATGAGGAGATCATGATGGACAGTTGTCAACTATGAACATTGTTTATGCTGTCTTTAGTAATTGAATAAAGTAGAATAAATCATAAGCAGAAAGATTGTTTGTTATATGTGTTTCAGGTGGGGATGTCTCATTGATTGACCCGCTTGGAGCTAGAGAGATGAGAAAATTTTTACCGTTGCTTTTGACACTGTTGTCTGCTAGAAACTTTGAAGGCTTGTTGCGTTTAATACAGCTGCTGAACTTGAAACGGTCTCTGCACGGTAAATTGTTTTTCCTTGCACAGTGTAACATTGGGTGGTATGGTAGACAATTAGAAAACTGGGCTCGTGCAGGTGATATATTACTTGTATACTTAAAACTTGAGTATGGAGAGCCGAAACTTCTCTATGATATGTGCCAAAAGTAGTTGCCCTCCCTTTAAAAGCAGACTTTCTAAAATAATTAAAAAAAAAAAGTAATCTATTATATTCTGGTGATTTTTGGTTGATACTCTAGATAGGTCAAAATGCTTGATATTTTAGTTACACATTGCATATTCATAATTGTATTTGCCACTCAGAATCCTTCCTACAGCAAAACAAAAAACTAGACAGTTTTGGGGAGTGCATGTAGATGCCTAGTTAATTAGCTCTCTAGATAGCTGTGTATCTGGAAGGGGTAGAGGTGGTCAGTTTTTTAATAAGTGTGCACTGTGTATGTATAGGAGAGATTAATTATGCATGATTGTTAATCACTGATCTTAAAGACTCTTCTTCAGTTGAGATGAGAATTTATCTACCTAGCTCAGCGTGTCAGAGGAATAATTTCTTGGCCAGAACAGAAGATGACTGGACATGAAATAATTTTGTGTGGGAGGAGTGAAGAGGGTTATCCTATTCTTTCTCTAAAAGAAAAGTTTATTTTTCTGTTATTTCTGATATACTCTCATACTTTCTAGCTGCCTCGCTGTGGTAAAAATTCTGCTCTTGAATCTCTGCAGTAGTTTTTTAAACTTGGGTAGTTTTTGTCTTTACTACCTGCCCTGAACTTGATAGGTAGCTGTGGATCTGGGAACTAGCAGAAGAGAGGGAAAGAAATCTCCGCTCTGAAAGCCTATTTAGAAGCCGTTGTGAATGCCTTTTCAAGGGGAGCCCTGCACTGAAGGGCAGCATCCCCTTGTGGGGTGTTTAATATGGGATTTGAAAATTTCTAGAGATCTTTGTAACTGTTCTAAGTAGTCTGTTTCTCTCTCTCACTCTCTCTTTTTTCCTATGATTATTAGGGGTTGCTTAATAATGTTAGTAGAGTAATAATAGTGATTGCCTTCCTGACCTAAAAAAGCATTCTAAAAAGAATGAGAAGTTTTTTAATTAAAGATCTGCCATGAGTTCCCTGTGTGACCTTGGCACTGTCACTCAGTTTTACTGGATGACTCTAAAAAGGGCATGATTCTTCTCAGTCTTGGATGTCATATGCAGTTTAGAGTGTCCTAACAACATTATGACTAGATGATAAAACAAAAATGAGTGAGTAATTCTTGCATTTTTATGACATTCCCTTCCTTGTGATCAATAAAAATGCAGAAAAATAAAATGAAATGGTGCATGTTCAGTTTGGCTTTCTCTTCTGAAGTTTATTAAGCATGGTTGTATGTAATATTTTCCTTTTTCATGCATTTTTTTCTAAGATAATTTAATTAATTAGTCCTAGTGTCATTTTAGTGGTTGTCTTCCCTTTTCTCTGTAAAGTCGACTTGTCATCAGACTGCTGTGCATTAAATGCATGTTTGGAATTTTGAAATGAACATGTTATTGATGGCCTGAAACCTAAATCCCTGCTGTATATTTCTCTTTTGCAATAGTTCCCAGTCCCACTCCCCTCCCCTTTGTGGTTGTGTGTGCCCACAGGAAGTTAATTGTTACCACAGTTTTGACAGTTTTAAGTCAAAATGCTGTTGAGTTACATGAGTAAGTTTTTGTGTGGTGGCTATACTTGAAAATCTTGGATTTGAAAGTGTGTTACCTCATGGTTCTCAGTATTAATACTGTACACCAAGCAAGCCCTGATAATACTGCTAAAATGACTTCAGATTTCCATTTGTATTTTGATGCCTAGCTGCTTCTAGTTTTCGTGGGGATTCATTACCTAGCATCTTTTATGGATCTATCTATTCCTGAAGATCACTAGTTTACTGTAAACAACTGGACAGTAGTTTATCTTTGCATCGTCTCAAAGTACAGTTTTATGGGCTCCATATAAATGTACAATTTATACATAATAGTTATTAATAGTTCTTTAAAAATACACAGGATACCTGAGTTTAAATCTGGGACTTCTCAAAGAATATTTATGGAGAGCCACCTGAAATGATAAGAACTTCACCGGAGTGAACTCCTTTCTAGCACGATGTCTTCTATGCTTTCATACATAGCTGTAAATGATATTTGCAACAATTAAATGTACCTATAGAATCATTCATGAGTTACATACATACAAAGACTTTATTTAGCATTTAGAAAATTCCTCACTCAAACCACATCTAATAAAATTAAGTAATATCATTGGCTAGTTAGGTGCTCTGCTTAAATTTTAGCCATGCTTTCCAAAGATGCTTTTCAAAAGTAATTCCCAAAGTTTACAACTGAAAATAAACCAAATGAAAGTGAAAATTTTAACTGATCATACGCTTTGCAGTAAAAACTTCCAGCTAGAACTGCATGTGTTGTGTGCAGGTAATCTGTGGATTTCCTGACATCTTTGCTAGTTAACTGTAGTTCCTGTCTTCTGGTTCTGGTCCCGCGTTTCTTAAAGCAAGAAGCAGGCAATTTCTGCATCACTGTTTAGTGTTATGATTTGTATATGTTTTTACTGAGCAGTATGTTAGGGATAACTAAATCACCTTCATTGTATTAACCACCCACAGATATCTTGAATTTTTAAAACTCGCAGGACTAAAATAATCTGCTTTAAAATTGAAGCTGTGTATTAAAAGGCTTACTGAAGGTACTGAGTGACAACTAATGCAGAGCACAGATTTTTTGTTCTCTAATTTGTGTATTCTTAAATTTATCAGGGCTTGAAGACCACCACTGTATTAGCTTGCCAGCAGGCAGCTGTCATCTGCTTTGCCCTTGCTCTGTGATCAGAGCTCTCTGTAGAGTCACTTTAAGATTTTGAGGTAAAGACTGTATGCTAACTCCTAAATAAGATACTAATTGTTTTAAGCAGTCAGTTACAAATTTGCATTAATATATAAAGTAACTAGTTTGTAAATAAATGTAACAGATATGCATATCAAATTGTTGCATTTCTTCTGTGATTCTGCAGGCCAGCTAAGACCCAATCATATCGATGTTAGAGTTGCGTTGGATAAGTGGATAAGTCATACTCATTTTTGATTTTAGGAATCTCAGTCTAGTGTGTATCCAAAAACAGTATATGAGAAAACTAGTAAAACAATGTCTAGTTGTGCATTTGAGAAAGAGTAACTACACATCTCAAAACAACAAAAGTTATCTATTGTCAGTACATTGTAGTTCTTTAAATAATGCGTATTTCGCCAAGAATACATCTCCCTTTTTGTTAGCTGCACTACCAGTTAAACTGTACAGGAGAAGTCTGTGTGTCTGTACAGAATAGAACAGTCTTGGGTGCTCATTTAGCTGATGAATCTGTGCAAAGTCAGCTGCATATATAACTTTCAAAGGTCAAAGCCAGTTTGTGCAGGGACGCTCGGACACTTATCAATGGCAGCTATTTTCATATTATATTACAAGTGGATCCCTATAGCTGTGTTTTGCAAACTTAGTGCTTATATGTTAAGTGTTCATATAACTGACCTGAAGATAGAATCGAGTTAATTTTGTATTTGGGGGTTACCATTTCTATATTAAAAAGAAACCTTTTATTGTAAGTAACTGTAAAAATACATTTTTCATGTACTCTGTTGTAGCTGTGTATTACAATTTGAAGTTTACAAGCACAACAATATGGACTGTCCAGTAGACCCGATTGTAAGGTGCCATATCTAATATATTTAAAAATATATTTTTTAACAGGTCACGGCAGGACCAGTGAAAATTTGTGTTTTCTTTTTGGCCAATCCTGCAATGAAAGAAGATAAAGACGGAGAAGATCTGTTCGGTTGCCCAGTTCTAGTTATGTTACACTATGTTTAGACATTAGCTTCACATTGTTAATCCCTGATCCTGCAAGCTGTTCTGTATGAACACGTGTTTGCAGCCATACAAAGCTGACTGTTGATGAGGATCTGTCACAGTACGTAGATGCTCCTGTGAAGAGTTCCTTGCGGGCAAGGCCTTCAGCCCCGTACCGGTTCTGTCCAGTTTTCTGCATTTATGGTGAGGAGGTTTAGACAGAAGTTCAATTACCTGGTTTTGTTTTGAGAAAGGGACTTCAGGAGGATCCATTGGAGAAATTTACCTCCCTCTTTGTTTCATGTTTCTAACACTGCTCCTCCCTGCAGGAAAGAGACTCTTAAAATTGTTCATACTGCACGCCTGAATTTCTTCTAGTCCTGAATTTTTTCTTTTAATTTTGTCATATGGTGGTAGATTTCTAGGTTCGGTGAACTTTCAGGAGTATTCTTGCACCCATAAATTAAATGTGGATTTATAGGATACTGTAATTTTGGATGAAGAGTTGCAAAGAGCAAATTCTGAAAAGTGGTATTTTTCAGCTAAATTATAGTTCTCTATAATAAAAGTGCATATTTTATTTTCATAGAGCAGTTCATATAGATATAGGAGGTGACTATATATTGCAGGACTGTAGCAAGTTCTTTGTGGACTAAAGCAGAGCGACAGTATGATTTAGGTAGAAAAGAGGTAAGCTGACATCCAGTTTGGTTTTCACTATGAAGGTGTAAGGTTTGATAAACTTTAGTAAGTCCTCATAGTATCTTGAGGAAGTGAGGTTCTTTCTTCCTTACGTAGAATGATCATGAAGTAAAAATGCCAACTTCAGAGTTATGTTTTGTAATAAAATGCCAGTAATCTAATCTCGTACCACAACCACACGGGTTGGTATAATAGTTTTATTTCTGGAAACAGAAATAATGACTTTTTTTGAATCATATGTGAATGCCAGTTGGACGAACTTGGTGCTCTGTTTTTTTTCTGAGGTGCACAGATAGTCTGTGGTGCTCAGGGGTGTTTTTCTTTTTTCCTTTTTTCTTTTTTCTTTCCTCCTTGTTTGTATGGACTTCCAACATAATTGGCTTTTTAAATAGCAGTTCTCTGACCTGGTCCTTTGGTGCATCTACTGCCAATGCTACTGCAATGATTGCTTTCCTAACTTAGTGCTTTCACCAGTCAACGTTGGTTTTACTTATTCTTTGTTCTCTGTCATCTGTATTTCTTCGCTTTTATTGTCCTGTGTATCTTGGTATTATCTCAAGGCTGACAGGTGTTCTTTCCCATCTAAGCTTTGTACTTTTTGAAGCATTTTTATATGCTATCTCTTACAATTGGCAGCCATTTCCTCCTGTGGAGATCCTCCTTCAGTGCCTAATACTTGTTATGTATTTTTCTGGCACCAGTATGCCTGCTTGTTTTGCCTGTCAGGATTCTGTCCTTGCATTACTACTTAGCTGAGATCTGTTTGGTCAGTCTTTTCTTCATCATAGTGTAGAAGAAGAAGAAGGTCCCCTATAGTAACTGAGGTTCTTAGATAGTGCTTGAAGGTCTTACCTTGTTAAGTACTTTTCACATATTCAAGAAGGAAAAGGCTGCACTTCTTTATTTCTCTCTGAAATCTTACAGGGCAACTGGTTGATCTTTTAAATATACTTTTTCGTGAAATTAAAGAAAATTAAATAACATACTCTGAAATTTCTCCCAGATCTTCTGCCAACGTTCATAAGAGCCAATCTGAATGAGGAAAGATTGTGTAAACTACACTACTGGAAATAGTTTGTAGAGCCATCTGAAATATTTAAACTTTTCTCATAGAGAAGCATTCCACTTTAATACCTCTGTTCTTCAGTGTGTGCGCTTGAATTGCAAAACAGGTAGCATAATCAACATCAAGGAGAAGAAGGAAGGTATTTTTTTTGTTGTTGGCATGAAGTAGCGTGGAAATAAGTTGTTGCAGGTATTCAGGTAAACACTGCATTTAGAAAGAAGATGTATAACAAGACATCCCCATTCTTTTCCAGTTGTTCTGTATGGTTGTCTCTTCTTTTTCCATTTCTCGTTTGTAAAACTTAAATTCAGAAGAAAGCCCAAAACATAAAAATGATAAATATATTTTCACATCACACCACTGTCTAAAAAAATTGATGGCAAGAGGTTGTGGATTTTGGAGATGTTTAATGACAGTTTGAAAGCATTCATTATCCTACTTAGATACTTCTGCATATTCTGTTTGTCCTTACTTACTGTACTTAAAACCAAGGTGAGCATAACATTATGCTCATAAAAGAACAAACAGCAACCTAGTATGACACATGATACGCTATTTCTGAGAAATATGATAGAACCAAAGTGTGCTTGATAGTTACTGTTTTGCTGGAGAATGGCATTGCTTCAAGGAAGTGTTGGCAACCTGCAGGGTAACATGGGCAAGGGAAGAAGACAAATGCAATTTCATTTTTTTGTGTGGTGCAGTACTTAGCTAGATACAATGTTGGAAGTATTGATAAGCTTTGACTGGGAGGTCGTACCTCCTTACGGTGAGGAGTCAGTGGCTTAGCTGGCATTTGTGTCTTAGAGTTGAAAACTCCTGTTTGCTAAGATCCCTTCATATGGCACTAGTGACACAAAGGGAATGGTCTGGGACTTCCAGAGGAGAGATCTTCAGTTGACACAGTACTCAAATAGTTGGTTCTAAGTGGTACTACCTTCTGTTCTTCCCACTGTAATTGGATAGTTTGGAAGCTAGTAATTGAGAAATAAAATTTTCAGCCTCCTTATAAAACACTGATAGGCCTTATCAATGCCTGGTGACTAGGCATTTGAGATGAGGGAGCATTAGGGAGCAACTCTTCCATCTACACTCTTTGGACTCCTCTCAATAATCTGTCTCCAGCCTCCCTTTTGTGTTCTATTTTCCAAAAATGATAGCTTTTAAAAATGTTTTTTCTTATCCTCTTTCTCTAAAGATTCTCCATGATTGATGGAAGCATCAGAGTCTCTTTATGTTTTCATTTGCTTCACATCTGTGCGCTTTAGATACACTGTCTGTGAGTCTTTAGTAATCCAGGTGTTCTTCTTGGTTGGCTAATGCTGTTGCTTGCTGAGATCCTGCTCTGAATCCTTCCTCGCAGCTCTGATTCATGCCTATAAGGAATGAGTAGAGTCCAGCATAAAATAAACGTCAGTATTTACATCTAGCTAAGTTGAAGTTCATGCTTTTATCGTATCTGAACCAGGCCTGCTGATACGAAGTGGCCAGGGATGTTATCCGTGCTCAGACCTGACTTCTTACTACAGTTCTTGTCAGAATAATCTGAATGGAGTGGAGGAATGGGGTTGAGGCCTGTGCAGCAGTTTCATTTTAACAGCATCATGCTTTTTTGATTAGTCAGTCATCCTTTTTGCACAACCAGAAATTATGGATGAACCTTAAGTCATCTGGCTCTGTGCAATAATTGGAATCCACTCTTCTGAAACAGAAATATGGGATACTCCAGGTTCAGTGCTGACTTTAACGTGTCAAATGCAGCAAAGAATTGATTCCTTAAATGTATCCCAAAGGTACATTTGGTGCTACTATTTAAACTTGACATTTAAATCTGACAGGATTGCTTAAAAGTTATGCTGTCTATAGATGACAGAAGCAAAACAATATCTCCTCTTAAGGTTTTCTGTGGGGAGGGAAAAGGAAAGGTCTTCCTGAGTAAGGTGCTCTTACCTGATTCCAGACTGCTGACAAACACTATTGTATGACTTTGTAAAAAATAGATTCATTCTTTGTATTAAATAGTTGGGTAGATATAACCGAATGAGTTTAAACTGCTTTTATTTCAAAGCAAATTACAAATAAAAACGTGAGTACTCTGTAGCAACCCCAAAGTATCCCTAAGTAAAGCTGTCTTCTAAATAAATAAAATATGCCTGTGTGAACTTATTTGATGTGTTCTACAAACTTGCGTAACAGCTTGATACTTTGGTGCCCCTGCCTGTTCTTGCTCTCTCTGCCTTGCTCAGGACTAAAAAGAGTAGAAATACGTAGAATTGTGTTTTTTCTTAGTCTTACCGTGTACTGGGAGGTGAAGATAAGAGAAACGGAGATTTGACCTTTCAGTGTTCTACTGATGGCTCTTACTAGTTGTTGGTTTGAGGAATTGAATGTGGTCCAGGAATGACATTAGCTGAAATCTCAACAGCTGTGACTGTAGTCTTTTCAGCTGGTAGTTGTTTCTGCATACTTGGTAGGCCCCATTGATAGCTGAATAATAAATCTTCTGCCTATTGTTTTTTGTTTTGCTTTTCTTTTTCCAGGGGTTTTTCAGGATTTTGTATAAGTAAGAGGGAGAATTCTTCCCCCTCCCTAACTGGAGGTAGTTCTGGTAGGTGACAAAGCTTCTGTGAGCAGAAATCACATGAAGGTGGAGAAATCACTTTGCCTTTTTTCTGCTATGCATTCTTCAAACAGGAAAACCATAGCTCCAAAAAAAATGGAATTCCCTGCCCAAGTTGCTTAATTCCTAGAGTTTCTGGAATTTAATTGTTATGGCAATGCCAAGTTCCTGCATTTACTGGGTTTCCTTGATCCAATCCTGAATTCAGCCACCTGGGGTTTTTTAGGGAAAGGAACCTACAGGCTAGATGGGGCAGGGGAACAATTGCATTAAAATAGCTTTCCTGAGCGTACCTAAGGTCTCTGACATGGTTATATTTGAAACTAACATAGGGCATTCTGATTAGGAAGTTCAAAACAGTGCACAGAACTTGGTCCTAGTTCTTAGCCCTCTTGCTGAAAACGAACAAAAAAACCTACAAGCTTTATGAATCCGAAATGCTGACATAGCTAAACTTTTTGTGCTGAAATGAAACCTAGGAAGCCTGCATATTGAAATTCTTGTGAAATTTGACTTCCTTCTGTGTGGAGGTTTATTCTGCTTTATAATCCATTCCTAGCTTCAGAAAGCATAAATAAATGTATATATTTAATTGAATCTTCCAGAGAGGGCAATGCATGCCATTATTCTCCACTTGTAACTTTATAGCTACAGTGATTTTAAAAAAGATGGCAAATATAAGGGAGCAAATGGCAGAAGGCTACAAATAACACAGATAGACCAGTTTGCAGGCTTCCAAACTTAGTCTGCTTTGATTATCATTTTTAAAGGTGGCAGCAGCAATTGTTTCTAGGTTTGTACCAGGCCATGCACAGG